AGATGACAGTTAACTGCCAACAAAGATGGCGGCTAATTTGCATATGTAGGCACAATGCAGGGAGGCGAAAGGGAAAGCCGGAAGAAGCCCCCTGCCACTGACAGTGATCGGAAACCCAGGGGGGAGCTAAGAGCTGGGGGGCAGGGCAAAGACGGCCCTGGGGCCGCCTTTGCCCTACCCCCCAGCCATGATCGGAGAATCAGGCGCCTTTGCCGCCCTGTCCAGTGATAGCAGGAAGTAGGGGTGGAGCCAGCGATGGGAGCTGGGCACGGTCGAAGCTGGCAGTCCCGGGAGCTAGGGGTTCCTTGCCTGGGCCTAGAGCGGAGCCCACGATCGCGGGGCCGCAGCCGCTGCGGGTCCCCGCTGCCCGGGCCGGACGCCTAGGCCAGAAGCGTTAGGCCTGGGCAGTGGCAGAGCCTGCAACCACGGGGAGCTGGGGGTCCCCTGCCCAGACCTGACACCTCTGCTGGAGGCCTCAGGCCTGGTCAAGGGGCCGATCCGGTGATTGGTGATCGGAGGGTGATGAGGGTCAACTCCTCTGGCCGAGGCATCAGGCCTGGGTGGGGGGCGGAGCCGGGGATTGGAGGGATATGATGGTCCCCTTGCCCAGGCCTGAAGCCTGGGTCAGAGGCGTCAGGTTTGGGCGGGGGGTGGAGCAAGCGATCAGAGGGAGATGGGGGTCCCCTGCCCAGGCATGATTCCTGGGCCAGAGGCCTCAGGCCTGGGCGGGGGTCAGAGCCAGTGATCGGGGGGAGGCGTCAGGCCTGGGCAAGGGGCCGATCAGGTGATCGGAGGGTGATGGGGGTCTATGCCTCTGGCCAAGGCATCAGGCCTGGGCAAGGGGCAGAGCCAGCAATCGGAGGGGTCTGGGGGTCCCCTGCCCAGGCCTGACGCCTCTGTCAGAGGCGTCAGGCCTGGGGGACACACTCCCCCCCCCCCCCCCACACACACACCCAGTGCACGAATTTCGTGCACCGGGCCCCTAGTATTATATAATAAAACTTTGAAATATTGCGAGAATTATCAAAATGTGGCACAGCGACATGAACTGAGCAAATGCTGTGGCAACAGACTTGTTCAATGCCACAACCCCTTAATTTGCAAAAAACGCAATACTGCAAAGTGCAATAAAACAAGCATGTCTGTGTTAATATTCAATTTTTGAACCAAGCTTTAAATTAATCTTGAAGGGTAAAATCTAAATTACTGTTTAATAATATCTATGTTAGTTATGGTTAGATTCAAATAATAAAGGAGAAAGTATTATAAACTTCAGTTAATAATAGAACAAAATGGCTTATCTTAAATTCCTTTTAGTATACTCTTTCTGACAGCACTCTGTACTATATGCATTTGAGGGTTTAAAGAAAGTGATAAAGGACTACACTGTAAAGGGAACATAAAGAAAGCCATACTGCCAGGGTCTGAGTCTCAGTTCTGCTAATTATGTGACTTTTGGAAAATCACTTGTCTGTGCCTCAATTTCCTCATCTGTAAACAGAGACTTAACAACAGTATCCATGTCATATCAATGGTACACACCATATAGGGTTGTTGTAAGGATTACCTCAGTTAACATATGTAAAATGCTTAAAACAGTACCTGGCATATGAACAATATTATCAGCTATATACTAGAAACCCGGTGCACAAATTTCATGCACTGGGGGGTGGGGGTGTCCCTCAGCCCAGCCTGCACCCTCTCCAATCCAGGACTGCTTGCTGGCTCCCAACCGCTCGCCTGCCTGCCTGATTGCCCCTAAATGCTTCTGCCTGCCAACCTGATCATCCCCTAACTACTCCCCTGCCAGCCTGGTCAACGCCTAACTGTTCCCCTGCCGGCCCGATCGCCCCCAACTGCCCTCCCCTGCAGGCCCAGTCCCCCCCAACTGCCCTCCCCTGCCAGCCTGGTTGCCCCCAAGTGCCCTCCCCTGCAGGTCTGGTTGCCCCCAACTGCCCTCCCCTGCCAGCCTGGTTGCACCCAAGTGCCCTCCCCTGCAGGCCTGGTTGCCCCCAAGTGCCCTCCCCTGCAGGCCTGGTTGCCCCCAACTGCCCTCCCCTGCCAGCCTGGTCACCCCTAACTGCCCTCCCCTGCTGGCCTGATCACCTACAACTGCCCTCCCCTGCAGGCCATCTTTGACCACATGGGGGCAGCCATCTTGTGTGTTGGAGTGATGGTCAATTTGCACACTGGTTGTGGTAATTAGCATATCCAGTCTAATTAGCATATTCCTCTCTTATTGTTGGAGTTAGGGTCAATTTGCATACTGTTTGTGACTAGTATATCCGGTCATGACTGTGAGGGTGTCGTGACCAATTTGCATATTACCCTTTTATTACTATAGACTAGAGGCCTGACGCATGAAAATTGTGCAAAGGTAGGCCTTCTTTCCCCCAGCTGCCGGCACTGGCTTCCCTCTGGCACCCAGGACCCAGGCTTCCCTCGCAGACCCAGCTTCGACCAGAAGGTCGTCCGAAAGGATGTCCGGTCTAATTAGCATATTATGCTTTTTATTATAGAAAATTGTTATATTGCTGTTAATTATTATTATGTTATTTTGTCTCTTTGCAACATTGTAATTAATCGGACAGCACTCACACAAAACATTTCCATCACTGCAGAAAGTTCTATTGAACAGCACTTATCAGACTACAGGATAGTTAGAATGACTGGTGAGATAATGCATATCATTATCTCTAATTTTTCTTGGAAGTGCTTAGAAAAAAGCAATCTAAACCCAAAGTATTTTTTAATCTAGAACTTTGACATGTAACAAAAAGCTTGGCATTCAGTCCTATTTAACAAGTCAAATAAAAAGGGGCTGGAGAATGAAAAGAAATTGTCTCTTTTATAAGGACCTCATCTCTATTCTGAGAGATAACCAAACAAATGGATTTTTTAAATTCCCTTCTACCCTACCCTACTAATCTCTCTTCCTCAGCACATGGTAGCATGATTAGAAAATGCATTATTAATTATACTCAAATACAATTATCAATGCATTTTAAAAAGCAAAGTTATGACATAGCAATATATATACTTCTTTAACACAGCAAATAAAGGTCTAGAGGTGGGCTCTGATTAGGTGGCTCAGTTGGTTGGAGCATCAAACTTACAACAAAAGGTTGCAGCTTCAATTTCGAGTCAGGGCACATACCTAGGTTGCGGGTTTGATCTCCAGCGGGGTATATACTGGAGGCAACTGATTGATGTTTGTCTTTCTATTACTATCTAAAAATCAATAAAGAAGCATATCCTTGGGTTAGAATTTAAATATATATATATCTAGGTGGGTCTAACAATTATAGCCTAAACATTCTGAGATATCTGCAACATCTGTAATTTAATATGAAAGTATTTCTGATTTCTATTGGTAACAAAGTCACAGGTATTGCTTATACAACTGTGATTTGTTACCTATATTCAAAAATCAAAGAAAATGCTAAATCTCACTTAGAGGTTAGTGAAATAAAGATATGATTGGTGCCCAGCCGGTGTGGCTCAGTGGCTGAGCATCAACTCATGAACCAGGAGGTCACAGTTCGATTCCCGGTCAGGGCACACGCTCAGGTTGTGGGCTCAAGGAAGCATGCAGGAGGGCAGCCAAATCAATGATTTTCTCTCATCATGGGTATTTCTATCTCTCTCTCCCTCTCCCTTCTTCTCTCTGAAATCAATACAAAATAAATAAAAGATATGATTGTATTCCAAGTTTATGTACCCTGGGTTTAAAAAAAAATTGCTTAAAAGACTAGACTTTAGAGCAGCCATGGGCAAACTACGGCCCGCGGGCCGTCACCGGCCCGTTTGAAATGAATAAAACTAAAAAAAAAAAAAAAGACCGTACCCTTTTATGTAATGATGTTTACTTTGAATGTATATTAGTTCACACAAACACTCCATCCATGCTTTTGTTCCGGCCCTCCGGTCCAGTTTAAGAACCCATTGTGGCCCTCGAGTCAAAAAGTTTGCCCACCCCTGCTTTAGAGTCACAAAAACCTGTAGTCAAACCCACCACTTCCTAGGTAGGTAATATTGGGGAAAGTATTTAATCTCTCTACTTCATCTGTGAAATGGGAATAATACCGCCATAAAATGCTGTTATTTCATTATTATCATGCTACCTGACATAGTATTTGACATATTCTCAGTAAAGGTGTATACTATTATAATCAATAACCAAGTTCAGTCAATTACATAGTTCACAATGTGCATCAGATACTCAGAGATTTCATATCAGTTGGTTTGGAGTAGATCCCAATCACTGGTATATTTTTAAAACTCACAAGTAATTCTAATGTGCAACTACAGGCCTAAGGACAAAGTTCAAACTCTAGTTTGGCACACTAGACACTTTGGTCACTGCTAACAGCTCTATATTTTAATCACTCTGTCACAGGTACCCTATGATCTGAACATACATTTAACTAATGCTTCCTCACAAAGTGGGTTATAGTAGTGACTCTCAAACTTCAGTCTGCAGCAGAATCACCTGAATTCCTGACTCAGTCAGACTGGGGTGAGGTTCAAGGTCTTGAATTCTAACAAATTCCCAGGTAATACTGACACTACTGGTGCAAGGACCAAAGTTTGAAAAAGCAATGGGCAACACTAGATCACAACCCTGTCCCTTTGCATTCACCTGAAATACCATTCCCTATCCATTATTCTACTCTTGGCTAGCTAACTTTCACTTTTCTTTCAAAATTACATAAGAATTCAACTTCAGGAAGCATTTTCTCACTTCAACAAATCACCTCAACACATTTATTACCTAGTATAAAACTTAGATACAAAAAAAGAAAAAGCACACTACAAAATGTTCTTAATGTAGATATCTGCTAGCTAGCATATACAAATTCTTTTTAAGAATTGGGGGGAAGGGGGGGAAGGCCTCCTTTGGTCAGGTGAATTAGAAAAAGGTGAAAAAGCAAATGGACAGTTCATCAAGCAAAATAAAATCTGGATTTCAGCCCCCACCAACGGCCTCAGCGAGGTACCTTTATGCAGAACACCAATTCCACAGTCATAGCAGCCCTGGCACAGCATACCAGTAAAACACAAAGGAAGAGCACTTAGGCCAGCCCTGGATTTAAGAAAGGGAGAAAGGAGCAATCAGGAAAAGATTTTTAGAGAAGATGTCACCTAAGTTCTGAATCGTGAATCACTTTCTCTGCACATCAGAAAGACAAAACTATGCTTTAATATCTTTATACCCAGTGTATGCCTCATTGTAGATGTTCAATAAATGCTTGAATAACTCACATTGAATAAAACTATATGAAAGCACTTGCTAATCTCTTTCTTCCCAAATAAAGAAGCACACACACACCAAACGCTGGCACCAAAACCTGTAACTACTATCTCAATATTAACGTAACTGGTCTGTACACTTACCAGCTAGACTCTAGCTACTAGAGGAAAGCATGAACGATTCTAATAACTAGTTAAAGATGAGGAGGCGAAAAGAGCCTATTGATAACACAATTAGGTTGTCCAAACTAAGGACTTTCAAATCAAATATTCTACATGACCTGATTCAGAGTTGATTTCTTAATTATTTCAACAGATACTACAAAATTTAAAAGAATCCTGGAACCGACGCCCAAGACGTTAATTTTACAATGAAGAAACTGAGGCCAGAGAAAAGTAATGACTCAAAGACATTACAGGTAGATTCATTCGTAGTCTCTTTAAAAAATTATACATAAAGCTAATAATTAAAAAATAATCCTCATACAACCATCAAAGTTTCTCAATTACCAAGAAAGTATTAAATTGCCTTTCTAGGATGCAGTATTTTCTAAGGAAAGAAAAAGAGCCTGCTGTTTGAAATATGTTTAATAAGCAAAAAACTCTGTCCATAATCCTCATCTCTCAATTAACAAGAGTACTTCATTCTCTGACCATTCTCATTAATAAAGTTTTAATCTCCTAGCTCAGTGGTTCTCAACATTGGCTGCACATTAGAATCACCTGGGAATCTTTTTAAAATCCTAATTTCTGGGCCTCATCCTCCGGAAATTCTGTTTCTTTGTTACTAATGTTGTGGCCCCACCCCATAACAAAGAAACGAAATTTCCGGAGGATGAGGCCCAGAAATCAGGATTTTAAAAAGATTCCCAGGTGATTCTAATGTGCAGCCAAGGTTAGGAACCACTGTGCTAGCTCTATGTGCTGATAAGAACCAATTAATTAAAATTCTTTACTTCTGGAAAATAACCTCACCATTTATTTAATTATAATTTCATTCTCCTTTTAATTTTAAGATTAATGCCCTTTGGATTTATGTAAAATGCAATATAATCTAACACTTAAACCCCACCTTTTAACCTTTACAGTAATCCATAAGAGGCATGCTTTTATTATTCCCATATTACAGAATACAAAACTGAGGTTTAGAGAGGTTAAAGAATTTGCCCAAGTTTATATACCTAGGAAGGGGTTGAGTTAAAATTTGAAACAAGTGTGACTCAAGTGCCAGGAACTCTCTTACATAATGAACAATGGCATTCTTTTTTTTTTTTTAATTTTTATCTACAAACCCTTGTGTCGAGGGCTGACTTTCAATAGATCGCAGCGAGGGAGCTGCTCTGCCTCCTACGAAACCCCGACCCAGAAGCAGGTCGTCTACAAATGGTTTAGCGAAGGGCGTGGGGGCGGCCCCCTTTCTGGCCGCATCCCGTTTCCCAGGTCGAAGGGCTCTCCGCACCGGATCCCAACGGGGAACAATGGCATTCTTAGCCACATACCATGTGTGTGATAGTGCTTCCTTCATCTGTGAGCATCAACTTTTTAATTATCCCTAGCAATACAAGGCACAAAGGCATTTTCTTCTCAAAAGTTAATTTAGAATCTACATATGTAAAACCCTAATATGCAAATAGACCGAACAGCAGAACAACTGAACTACTGGTCAGTATAACGTGCGCTGACCACCGGGGGGGTGCGTGCGGAACATGACCGGCATTGGCCACAGCGGGATGGCGGAGCAGGTGAGCAGGGGTGCCAGACCAAGGCGGGGCACAGGTCACTGTCATCAGGGCAAGCCTCTGGTGGTTACTGCAAGTCCTTTACTCCCGCATGCCACAGTCCCGCTGGGCACTCACATCTGCTGCTGGGACCGGCCCCTGCTCGCACCTACTGCTGGCACCTGGCACCACCCTAATTGCTCGGCACTGTCAGCAGGTGCAAGTGGCGGTTGCGGGCCCCGATTGCCCCTCAGGGATTCGCCACCTCCCCCTGCTCCTGAGGGGCAATCGGGGCAGCAGCCGCCGCTTACACCTGCTGACAGCGCCAGCCCCACTCACACCCGCTGCTGGTGCTGGCCCCAATTATTCCACGCCATCAGCGGATGCGACCAGGGCCGGTGCCATCAGGGTGTGGGAGCGGCGGCGGTGGGAGCCGGGCTGCCGGTAGACAGGGGACCTAGGGCCAGAGTGGGAGGGGCCGGGCAGGGGTGCTGAGGATGGGCCAAGACCCGCCCCTATGCCCACCACAGCCTCATGGCCCACAGTTCCTTTCAAGGTGCACGAATTTGTGCACTGGGCCCCAGTTTAACAATAAAGTACAACACAGCTTAAGATGTTCTTTAGCTTTCATATTGTTTACTGTCATAAAAATATCTACACATTTGCTACTTCATACTATCTACTAGAGAATGCAAAAGGCTTACCTCTCAGTGCTCTAAATAAGATACAAAAAGTAATAAACCTGGTATAATTGGGCATCTTCCTCAGAGAAAAGGGGAGGCATGCTTACTACCCATTATAATGATTTAAGTTTCCCCCAACCCTGGTATTCCTCTATGACACAACCTACTCATTGCATGTATAGGTGTCACTCTTCCACATAACTGTGCAAATTGGGGCTGATTCTGTGGCTACTGCTATTGCTATATAGTGCATTGTTCTTTATCTCTGACCAAAGAGTCTCGTAACTCCTACTAGCATCCAATTAAACTGTGGCAGGTTAACCTGTGTGAACCCTAAGAAGACACCTACTAAGAAGGGCTCATGGTGGCTAACTGGTCTCAAATTTTTAAAAAAACAGAGCCTAGCAGCCATTTTTACAAAGGGGCCTCTCATGCAAACTGCACTTCAGGGAGAAGCCTGCACTCTGCCATTGGACCCAGCCCTTAAAAAAGGAGTTCCTAGAATCCTATTTCAACCACTATGACTGAGGCTTTCTCCATCCAGAGTTGTGTACCTCTGACCAATCAGGGCAGCTCTATTCTGACCAATCAGGAGTGCCTTTTGGACCAATCAATCTTGGATGACTTGGAATCCTCATTTGTATGAGGGCAGGGACTTCTGTCCATATAAGCCAGCTCCCCTCTGCTCTATAAGCACACTTTCCCTTTCCACCAAGACTGAAAACTGTGTCTCCCAGGCTGAACTGAAACACCTAAGATGTCCCACCAGAGCAGAACAGAGCAGACCAGTACAGGCCAGAACAAACTGGCACAGAATGGAGCAGACCAAATCACAGCAGAATAGACCAGCACAGAACAAAGCAGACCAGCAGGGAGCAGAGCTGTCAGGCAGAGGGTCCTGGCCCCAGGACTGCTTCACAGCTATGCTGTATCACAATTAAGCAGAATAAAGTTTCCTTTTTTTTTTTTAACCTTCACCAACCGCACCCCAAATTAGGGATTCCTATTGGCGTCAACCACCAACATGACACTTGCTAGCCTGCAAGTAGGGTATAATCTCAGGCCCTTCACAGACCTTGCTAGGCATTAGCACATAATCAATGTTTTTTTATAATTGAAAGAGATATTCCAATTCCACACTGCCAAAAGGATAAAAAAGCAAAACTCAACTATATGCTTCAAGAAGTGCATCAAGAAAACAATTTTATGGTTGGGGGTCACCACAACATGAGGAACTGTATTAAAGGGTCACGGCATTAGGAAGATTGAGAAACACTGATATAGAGGATATTCTCCGACCTCAAAATGAAATTAAGCTAGCAGTCAAAAAGATGTCTAAAATAACTCCAAATATCTGAAAATTAGACAGACTTGTAAGTAAAGTAATCCATGAGTTAATGAAGAAATCACAAAGCAAACAAAAAAGGGATCGCAAAGCAAATTAGAAACAATTTCAAACTGAATAAAAACACAACTTACCAAAATCTATGGGATACATTAGAGGAAAATCTCTAGCTTTGAATGTTTATATTAGAAAATAAGAAATGTCTGAATTCTATGACCTCAGTTCCACTTTAAGAAGCTAGAAAAAGAAAACCAAAATACATATAAGAAAAAAATTATATATAACAAAAATAAATGAGGAGAAAAGATGAATGGGAAAAACTGACAGTGTTATTATTTGGAAAGATATTGAGGCCTGGCTGGTGTGGCTCAGTTGGTTGAGTGTCGTACCATGCACCACTTCCTGGTCAGGGCACATGCCCAGGTTGTAGGGGTGTGTGGGGAGGCAACTGACCGATGTTTCTCTCTCACATCGATCTTTCTTTCTTTCTCTCTCTCTCTCTCTCTCTCAAAAAATCAATTAAAAAAACATATTTAGAAAAGATATCAAAATTGGTAAACCTGAATTAGACTGGTAGAGAAAAAAAGAAGGAACACATTAACAACCCCAGAAATCAAAGAAAAGTTATCACTACAGATCCTACAGACATTAGGAGGCTAACAAGGACATCTTATAAACAACTTATGTCAACACATGAGATGAAAATTTTCTTTAAAAATACAACTTAACAAAACTGACTTAAGATGAAACAAAATCTGAATAACCCTGCATCCACTAAAAAACTGAATGTTACCAAAACCTTCTCATAAAAAAAAAATTCCAAGTCCAGATGGTATCACTGGTGAATTCTAGCTAAAATTCCAGAAAGAATATCAATCAGTATTGCACAAACTCACTAACAGAGGGAACACTTCTCAACTTATTTTATGAGACTATCATAATCCTAACACTGAAACCTATCAGACATTACAACCAAAGAAAACTACAACACAATATCCCTCATGAAGAAATATCCCGAAATTCCTAACAAAATATTAAATATAAAAAGGATAATACACTATGACCAAGTGAGGTTATCATAGGAATTAAGATTAACTTTTTTAAGGTTATTTTAACTTTCGAAAACTACCATTTATTTATCCATTCTACCACTGATGAACAGTCTGTTTCTAAATATTGGCTACTGCAAACAAGGTTATTATGAACATTTTTGTTCACAACCTGGTATATAAGATTTTCTCTCACAGGATTGTAGACAGAAGTGTAACTGCTAGACGTAAGTTACCTATACTTCATTTTACTAGCTAAAACAAATTCATTTGCAAAATGACTATCAATTTACACTCTCCGCATTCTCACCAAAATTTGATATCAGGATTTTTAATGTTTGTTAATCTGATGCAAATGAAATGGTTTCTTCTTATGTTTTACTAGTATACTTTGCACTCTCTTAATTACTTTTCCAACTCTGGGTAGGTGAGTTATTAGATCAGGTAGGCAAGCTGCAACCAGCATTATTCGTTTTTTAAAAATCAGTATATCAGAGTGCACTGCATAAAATACTGTTTTGTGACACTTTTATTTCTATTGCATGTTTGTACTGAGTCACAATGTAAAATGTTTTGGTAACTGTGAGCTTCTAGCAAGTTAAAAGCCATTAGTATAGCTATTTAATTTACAAAATTCCTTAGAGACACGACTAACTGGTACATCATTTAGGCCCACAACACAAAGGAATGTATTTTATAAAAAAGGTAGGACTCACACTGGCAGGTATGGCTCCATTGGTTAGGATGTAGTCTAGTACACCAAAAGGTCGTGGGTTCTATTCCCGGTCAGGGCACACACGCAGGTTGCAGGGTCCATACCCAGTTGGGGCACATGCAGAAGGCAATCGATTGATGTTTCCCACATCGATGTCTGTCTCTCCCTACCCCCACTTCCACCCCTGCCACACTGATGTTTCTTTCTCTTCCCCCCCACCCCCCTCCTTCCGCTAAAATCTTTTTTCTTTTTTTTTAAAGAAAGAAGGTAGAACTTGAAGTGTCCTTCAAGCACTAACTGGCAAGAACAGGGAATTAGAAGAGGAGGAAAAAACCTGATGGAAGCAATAAGGAAAGGATGTACTACATGGAGAAAAGATTCTATAAAACCAACTGGTCTAACTATGACCTACTTAAAAGCTCATTTTAAAAGAATCACATTTCTCAATAGGACAAGGATTCTCTCAGTATTTAAAGATAGGAAGCTGGGATCCTATCCTCTTAACTACCAAAACGACAGAAAACTGATCCCTCCTTCTCTTTAGACCAGGGTTGGGCAAACTTTTTGACTCGAGGGGACAATGGGTTCTTAAACTGGACCGGAGGGCCGGAACAAAAGCATGGATGGAGTGTTTGTGCGAACTAATATAAATTCAAAGTAAACATCATTACATAAAAGGGTACGGTCTTTTTTTTTTTTTTAGTTTTATTCATTTCAAACGGGCCAGATCTGGCCCGCAGGCCGCAGGCCGTAGTTTGCCCACAGCTGCTTTAGACACAACCCTAATTCCTACCTCAAGATTCATCTCATCCTGGGGCTTATGCAATCTTTTAGGTTTTTACTTCCTAATTTTCCCTACAGAATATTAGAGCCGCAAGAATCATCTAATTTCTAAAGATTTATATTGTTATTCCACTAACAAAGATTGACCAAGTCACTACTGCATCACCTCTCTGTTAAGAAACTAAACTGTACCTAACAATTTTAACTACTGGCTATATCCTTTAAAGCAGCGGTCACCAACCATTGGTCCACGGACCACTGATGGTCCGTGAGGTCAAAAAGGTTGGCGACCGCTGCTTTAAAGCTTGATACCCTTGCCCTGGTCAGGTAGCTCAGTTTGTTAGTGTGTCATCTCCATACGCCAAGGTTTCAGGTACAATCTCCAATCGGGACTCACACAAAGAAGCAACCAATGCATAAATAAGTGGAACAACAAATCAGTTTCTCTCTTCGCCCCACGTCTAAATCAGTCAATAATTTTTTTAAAAAAAGCTTGATTCTAAAAACCCTCAATGACCCACACCCCTGTCTAATCCTCTCCCCTTGAGTGTGGGAAAGATATAATATGGGATATAATTCTTGTGACTGTTAGATGGAAAACAGATTTTTGCATTTGTAGTTAAAGTCCCTAATCAGTTGATTTCACCAAAAAGGGGATTAACCTGGGTGGGTATGACCTAATCAGATGAGCTTTTAAAAGAGGTCTTAAAGGGGAGTCTAGAGATCAGAGACAGAGGAAGTGGAGAGACTGGTCAGGCTTGCCTGGCTGAAAGCAAGCAGCCATGTTGTAACTGCCTACATGGACATATGGTAAGGAACTTAGCTAGAAAAAAAACTTCATACAAAGAAATTAATTCTGCCAACAAGTAGTAAGCTTGGAAGACCTTAAGCCTCAAATGAGAATTGCAGCCAGCTGACATCTTGATTTCAGCCTGGTGAGATGCTGAACTGAGAGCCTGGTTACAAAAAATACCCAGAGCTCTGGTCGGTGTTGGTTAGTGGTTGAAGCGTTGGCCTACACACCAAAGGATCTCGGGTTCGATTCTCAGTCAGGTGTGCGTGCCTGTGTTGCAGGTTGGAATGAGTGCGAGAGGGAACCAATTTATGTGTCTCATATCTCTCTCTCTTCCTCTCCCTTCCCCTCCCCCTCCATTCCTTCCACTCTCTCTAAAAATCAATGGACAAAATATCCTCAGGTGAGGATTAACAAACAAAAAAAAGTACACAGATTTCTGACCTTTGAGATAATAAAGAGGTTTGTTTAAGCTGTTAAATTTGTGGTAGTTGATCCAAAAATCAAGGAGAAAAGATTAAAACTGTATATTTTTAAAGTCCTAACACTAAAAGGACTTTTTCACACACATATTAAAAACAACTACCATATAATTTATTACCTTCATTTTAGTGATGAGGAAAGTAAAGCTCAAGAATGACATCCCAAAGATGACAAACCTAGGGAATGTTTAACTTTAGTCGTCCTCGCCCCTACACCATAGCCCCCTTAAAGCCATTCAAATCAACAGTAATTGTATTACTGTCTTCAAAGAAAGCAATCCTAGTAGCATAACAATTTTCCGTATTTCACATCTATCTGAATATCCCTGTTTTACCAGAACATCAAAACTAAAGAAGATACAGAGAAATTTTCATTCAAAAGCAATTTGACTGTAAACATGACCATTGGTAGACCACTTGAATAAATTTAAAGTACATTTTGAAAATGTAGCAAAACACCTGTAAGTTTTCTAGAACTTTAGATAGCAAATAATTTGTTATAGTCTCAAAAACCACAAGTAAACAGCCTTTCTGGATCATTCAACATCCCACCTTCTAAAGAAATTTTGGAATCTGACTTCTTCATACATTATAAATATGAGAGCGTGGCACAATATATCATACAGTAAGTCGTTTATATTTTCACTGTTGAGGATACTTCCCTAAGTGCTGGAGCATCAGAATTTGCAAGTTTCTTGAAAACACACACAGAAAACTAAAAGGTGGAGTTACAAATTCCACACAACTTTAGTTACAAATCACACAACTTTATGTCAATTCAGATACTTTCACAAACACTAACTTTATTTGCTAAGATGCAAAACAGAGTCCTTCCTAGTCACAGCCACGAAAAGGAATAAACTGTCATCTTAACACCAACGATAACGGCGAATAAGTCGCTATAGTCACATACAAACACTAAAACATACAAACAGCATCGTTGAGATCATAAGCTTCCAAAACCACCCCATGATTTTTTTTATACGCCCGGGGCATGATTCTCTGCAATGTGAAGAGAACTGATACCATATTTCATATGGGTAGACGGGGTGAGGTGACAATTTTAAAACCTGAAAATTTTTCTCCATCCCTACAGCACACAAGCAGCAGCGCCCAGTTCAGATCCTCCAATCGAGGCCCAGGTCCCACTCCAAGCATTCCAGTTTCCCAGCCCTCCACCCCGCCCCCACCCCGAGAAAAGAGGGAAAACAACTTTTATTGGTCTCCTCTCCCGGGGGAGCGGCAAACTAGCGGGGCCGTTTTCGGGCCTGGGCACGTTTCACGAGGACGCCTCCGTCGGGGGCGGGGAGGGCAGATAGCGGGAAGCCTGGATTCGACGCCCCCTTTCCCCCAGTTGCCAGCTCCCAGCCCCACCCGACCAAGGAAAAGCCTGGGCCGGCCGCCACGCCGAGCGACCCCCAGGCCCCTCCACGGAGGCGAGCTCGTTGTCATGTGACGACGCTGCCGCTAAAACACCGCAGAAACGCGGGGCGGCAGAAGGCGTTCACACCAGCCCGCCTCGGGCCGGCTCCGCCGGGCGCGGGCGAGTCCCGAAGTCCGGGTGGCGGGGGGGGGACGGAGGGCGGGCTTGGCGGCGGGCCCGAGCGCGCCACAAAGGCTTCCGCGCTCGTCGCCGTAGTGCCCGAGCGGGCGGGGGCACCATTTTCGGGGCCCGCGGGATGAGTGAGGAGACACGAGAGCTCCGGGGTGCCCGCCGCGCCCACAGCCGTCGCCCCCCACGCGCGCCCGGACGGTCAGCGACCGCCACACCTCGCACAGGCCCGCGCGGCCTCCCTCCCCCGCGCGCAGCCCGAGCCGGGCCCGCCCGCCCGCCAGCTCCCCGCTCGCGCTCTCTCGCTCTCGCCCGGCCTCCATTTTGGATCGGCGTCTCCAGCCCCCGCGCTGCTGCCGCCGCATTCCCCCTATTTCCCGCCCCCCGCCGCTGTCGCCGCCGCCCGTACTCACCTCAGCTGCCCATCCGGGCGCCGCCGGCCGTGGACCTAGTTTCCCCCCAAAAGTCTCCGGTGTGTTATTCCCGATGTGGGGGGGTTGTTACGGGGTGGTCGCCGGGGGTTCGGGAGCGGGGGCCGCGCCTTCAACGGAGCTGCAATCCTAACCCGCCATCTGGTGGCATTTTCCACACGCCAATGGCGCCGCTGCAGACTTGGGTCCGGACCGCCCTCTGCTGGCCGCGGCGCATACTGCCTCGCTGACGGGACCGGCCTGCCCGGAAAGGGGAGGGAGCAGAGGCGCGAGCTGGGGGCCCCGGCGGGGACGCGCTCAAATGCTTTCCAGTGGGGTTTGCGCGCACGCGCGCCAGCGGGGCGGGAAACGTGGCCTCGGCGTGGCGGCCCCGCCCCTGCACGGAGCCCTGGGCCAGCTCAGCCAATCGTGAGCGGCGGCTGCCGCTGGGGGCGGGTGTTGTGGACAGTTCGTGGGTTGCCCGAGGCTGTCGGAAAGACGGCCACGGTGGCGCCTGCGCGCCTGGCTAGCCGAGTTGCCGCCCGCCATTTTTGGAGCTTTACGGAGCCCTAGGAGGGTAACCCGCCCCAGCCCCTTCCCCGAGGCCCCTCCCCTGGTCGCGGGACTGGCGCTTTTTTGCAGCCCTGCCCGGCTCCTGCTGCCCGCACCCCCCAACCCGAACTCTCTGCGGCAACGGGAGGGAGGGAGCGGCGGCGCAAAACTGCTCCCGACCTCTCCCGTGTAGCCAGGGCCTCGGAACCTCGCATTGTATTAGCGACTCATTGTTGATTGGCACTCTACCGGGAGAGGGTGAAAGGGTTTCGAAGACTGTTAGGGACCTCCCTCGCCGCTGGTCTAGACGCGGCAGTGCCCACCCCAGGCCGAGCGGCGTGGTCCCTGCCTCGGTAAAGCAGATCCTCCCGTGGTGCTGGCTTTGCATAAGGCGGCAGCATTGGCCAGTTAGTGGAAGCGAATGTGGCTGGACTAGCAGGCTGCAGCCTCCGCTTTTGCATTAGATTTCTCCTCCCACGGTTTAGGACTCCTCTCAGTGGCTCTGAAATGGACGTTCCTAGCCTCTTAGCTGCCAAAAGGGAAATAATTGACTAACGAGAGATCAGGGCTCAAATATGCCCTTGAACGTGGTCTCTTCCCTACTTACCATCCGCCTGCCTCGCGGTGGTCTTGGCCGTGTTTCCCACCTTTCACTTGCTCACAACTTTTCTATACAAATTGAATCCTTAATCTCCCAGGTCATCAGCCCCGTTTATGACTAAGTTCTCTGTTGCTATAGCCGGCTCTGTGTTAGTAATGCCTTAGAATCGCTCAACTCCTTTATAGTCCTGAGTGACAATCTCCAGTAAATTACCCTAATTTCTGGTTTCTCTCCCAAGGGCCAAAAGGTGTGTGGCTTTTGAAATCACAACCCACCTGGAACCCCACTTATAATTGTTAACCTTTGGTTGCCTCAATCTCACAAAGACTACTTCTAACTTTCCTTGTTCAAGGTACCAGTCCCAATCTATACTAATGAACATCATCTGGTTTCCTGGGATCAAAGCTATGGGACTCCCATATCGGGTTGATATTCTCTCCATATTAAAACATTTAGCCACATCCTGTTCTTGATTTCAAAAACTCTCATCAAATTAATCCATTCTTCCCTTCTCTCCCAAACCGGTCTTTCTCCCTGGACTACATATGCCACCCTTCCCACTTCCTCCTTCCACCTTTACTTTAATAGGCTCTTATATATCTTCAATATCTTCCTATCCACTGGCTTCTTTCTATTTTTCAGCAGACAGTTTCCATTCCTTTTTAAAAATTCAGTGCTACTCCCTCCATTTACTGTACTGTCAACTGTAAACCAAAGTTAATTTCATAATGTAATAAAGGATAAAAAGCATTTATTTAACTAAATAGGAGCTGCAGAATTTTTACAAATTTTTTTGGTAAAACCTAAATTGTGTTTTACCAAAGAGAAGGCCACCTTTTATAGCAAAAGTTCCCACCCAGGTTCTCAATTAGGTCTGTTTTATGTAAATGAAGTGTCCAAATTGCACATTTCAGGGCAGGTCTCAATTCAGGTTTTTCCCGCAGTTGTTAACATCAGTCAGCATAAGTGAACAGGCAGGGCAAACTGCAGGAAACCACAGGTTCCGTCTAGGTTTCCCTGGTACCCAGAATATGCGAGAAGCCCCTATCAGTTAATGGCTATTAGGCTCTTACTATTTATAAAATTCAGGCTGTCAGTTGATCATGGGGAGTCCATCTCAGGCGAGAAATTCCTTTCTGGGGTTCATACCAAATGAATCTTCTTGGGGTCCATACAACCTTTCTTTCACTGTCATATTTCTCAAAAGATTCAACTTTGCATTTCCACCTTATTCTTTACCTTTTATCAGTGACTCCATAACAGCAAATTGAAATCACACTTTTAAGTTACCAGAGTTCTCATTTCCAACCATTTTCTCATTCCTCATTTTCTTGGCACACCCAATCCTTAGTCCCTCCTTGAAACCCTATTTCCCTCGCTTGTAAGACAATTCCTGGGTTCTACAATCTATCTAGATTACTGGTCATCTGGTTTCTTTGTTAGCTCCTCCTCTTTATTCCCTCCCATAATTCAACTCCTAGTTCTCTGTTCTCTACTACATTCTTTCTCTTCAAAAGTCCCCTAAAATTACCTCCATGTCTTTTAGTAGTTTGATAGTTTATTTCTTTTTAGTACTGAATAATAATCCATTGTCTGGATGTACCACATTTTATTTATCCATTCCCTTATTGAGGGACATCTTGGTTGCTTCCAAGTTTTGGCAATTATGAATAAAGCTTCTATAAACTTTCCTATGCAGAATTTTTGTGTGGACATAAGTTTTCAACTCCTTTGAGTAAATAAGGAGTTTGATTGCTGGATCATATGCTAAGAGTATGTTTAGTTTTATAAGAAACTGTAAAATTATCTTCCAAAGTGTCTGTACTATTTTGCATTCCCACAATGTAAGCGTTTATTTTGCTCTACAACATCAGTATTTGCTGTTGTCAGTGTTCCAGATTTTGGTCATTCTAATAGGTGTGTGTAGTGTTATCTCATTGTTGTTAAAATTTGCATTTCCCTGATTACATATAATGTAGAACATCTTTTCATATACTTATTTCCCCATATGTATATCTTCTTTGGTGAGATGTCTGTTAAGGTCTTTGGTTGATTTTTTACTTAGGTTGTTTGTTTTCTTACTGTTGAGTTTTAAGAGTTCTTTTGAATATTTTGCTTAATAGTCCTTTATTATATGTCTTTTGCAAATATTTTCTCCCAATCTGTGACTTAATCTTCTGATTTTCTTGGCGTTGTGTTTTTCAGAGCAAAAATTATTACTTTTAATAAAGTCCAGCTTTTCAATGATTTCTTTCATGGATTGTGTCTTTGGTGTTTGTTGTATCTAAAAGGTATTACTAGACCCAAGGTCATATAGGTATTCTCCTGTGTTGTTGTTCTAGAAGTTTTATAGTTTTGCCTTTTACATTTAGGTCTATGATATTTGAGTTTATTTTTGTGAATGATGTAAGATCTGTGTCTAGAGTTTTTTTAAATGTGACTACCCATTGTTTCAGTACTATTTACTGAAGAGACTTTCTTTACTCCTTTGTATTGCCTTCATTTCTTTGTCTAAGATCACTTGATTATCTTTAGGAGCTCTCAGTTCTTTTCCATTGATCTGTTTATCTGTTTTTCACCAATATCACACTGTTTTAATTACTGTAGCTTAATAGTACATCTTAAAGTCAGGTAGCATCAGTCCTCTAACTTTGTTCTTCTCTTTCAATATTGTTCTGGCTACTCTGCATCTTTTGCCCTCCATATGAACTTCAGAATCAGTTTGTAGATATTAATTGGGATTTTTATTTGGATTACATTGAGTCTATAGATCAAGTTGGGAAAAACTGACTTCTCAATTATAATAAGTCTTTCTACTCATCAACAGTTTCTCTGATTGCAGTAATCAGAATTTTGTAGTTTTTCTCCTGTAGATCTCATAAAGACTTTTCAAAGTAACATTTCATTAATGATTCTTCCCTTCCCACCACTTTTACAGAGTTCCAGGTGCATATTTGTATATTTTGCTTAATAGTCCTTTATTATATGTCTTTTGCAAATATTGTCTCCCAATCTGTGACTCATCTTCTATGTCAAGAGAATATTTAGACCAAAAGAGAGGTCTGTTGATTATGCATTATAACTCTTCACTTTTACATTTAGCATTCTTCCTTTGCATTTTTCACTTGACACAGGACATTTGCTACTAGACCTTTGGAAAAAAATCAGAAATGGTTTTCCCATCTTTCCTACTCTTGCAATTAAGGTGTTCTGCCAACTGGTGGCAGTAATGTGCCATGGTATTCTACCTATCAGATTAAACCATGATTTTTTTTTTCCATTCCTTTTTAATATGAAAAACATAATTTCTTTTAAACATGAGCAGTCTGCCCCAAAATTGATAAGAGAGAGCCGGAATACCTCCCCTTTCACAGTCAGTAACCTGGTTGCAGACAAAATCCCGTTCCCAGCCCTGACCGGTTTGGCTCAGTGGATGGAATGTCAGCCTTCGGACTCAAGGGTCCTGGGTTCGATTCCGGTCATGGGCAATACCTTGGTTGCGGACACATCTCCAGTGGGGGGTGTGCAGGAGGCAGCTGATCAATGTTTCTCTCTCATTGATGTTTCTGACTCTCTGTCCCTCTCCCTTCCTCTCTGTGAAAAATCAATAAATTATATTTTTTTTAAAAATCCAGTTCCCAAAAAATGGAGGACCAGAACTACCCAGACATTTGAAGGAAATCTCATGAGCAGAGGGATGTAATAGTGTGGGTAGGACCTAAGGCAGCGGTTCTCAACCTGTGGGTCGCGACTCCTTTGGGGGTCGAACGACCCTTTCACAGGGGTCACCTAAGACCATCGGAAAACACATATATAATTACGTATTGTTTTGTGATTAATCACTATGCTTTAATTATATTCAATTTGTAACAATGAAAATACATCCTGCATATCAGATATTTACATTATGATTCATAACAGTAGCAAAATTACAGTTATGAAGTAGCAACGAAAATAATTTTATGGTTGGGGGTCACCACAACATGAGGAACTTTATTAAAGGGTCACGGCATTAGGAAGGTTGAGAACCACTGACCTACGGGTTCTTAAATAT